ACACACAAACACAAAAGGTAGGTTGGCACTGCTTTCTAAAGACATTTTCTGAATTTTCAGGGAGAGGGACATCAGCCAAAACTTAGGGGTGAAGTTTTTGATTGGTCCTATGGTTTTAAATGGTATGATCAGTTATTAATTCAATCAGCATTAAATCTTCTGTCTCCTCCTCATCAGATCTCTTCCTGCTCCTCGGAACTACGGCGGTGTGGGTGACAACTGGAGAGAAGGTTGTTACTGAGGCAGGCCAGCAGGGGGCTCTGCAGTCAAACTTTTAACACAAGGAGGCAGACATTTCAACATGGCACTTTATCTACCTAGATAACTTTTACAGTGACGAGAAAACGAGAGACTATGTCCCAAAAATATAAATAATTAAGAATTTAAAAAAGCGCAAGACGGTGTCAAAGAGAACGTCTAATGATGTTCCTGTGTGGGGACTGGCACTGGAGAGGTCAGGCATGTCACGCAAACAGCCCATTGAATGCCAAAGAAACCAGGCCGACTCCAGCTCCGCCAGCAGAGGACACGTCACCTGCCTTGGTTTGACTGCAATCATATGCCGGAGTGTCACATCAGCCCATGGCCCAGCTCTCCTCCCTCTCCTCTGCTCTGTTCTTTCATCTCCCTCAGGTTGAAATGTTTCCACACATTTCTCTCTTTACGCTCTGTGTTCAACACGTGTTGCTGAGCAATCGATCTCTATGACGATGCTGTGCAGGTGAACTGTCCCGTGATGTTAGAGATTTGGTGGAGTCTTGCAACAGTGAAAGCACATGTGTGGGTATGACTCTGAAAAGAATCTGTCCTCATGTAAAATCAGCCAGAATGTATGCACAGGTTTGTTTTGGAAAATTATTTATTCAAATTATTTAAGAAGTGTATGTCCAAACATCCATATCAGTATTTTGTTTGAAGATTTCAGCTGTTTAAAATGTACATTTGGAACCTCAGTTGCAAGCTAAATCTCCAAAGCCTTTATTTTGTTTTCAGATTGTCCAATCAGAACGCGTGATGAAGCCGGGTGATTAATGACAGCTCGGAAAAAGCCTCAGTTCTGACTCTGATGTCTCAAAAACCAATATCAGTCCATTATTCAGCCGATTAAACCAAGAAATCTTTGATGCTCTTAAAATCCCCCCAACAGATGTGTCAGTGTATATCAATTAAGATACTAAAGAAAATATCCCAAATATCTTGAGTAAGATGAGATGACGTTTGAATACGTTGAATACATTTCGGCTGGCTCTGACCTCTTGTGCTATGAATCAAAAGGTGTGTAAGTGGAGGTGTTCCAGTAAATGGTGTGGTGGCTGTTCTTCAACTAGTGCCTATAATTTAATGTTTCACTTGAGTTTGAACATCTTGTTTTCTATGTTTTATAAGTTTGTGCCAATTTTCTTGCTTTGCCAATATTATTTGCGAGTTTGCATCTCTGCTTGACTGATTTGCTTGCCTGTTTGATTTTTTTTGTAATCGATACATTTATAATTGCTTTAAAAAAAAAGTTTAATATGCGCCTTCATATTTATAACTAATTACTCATTCTGTAAATGAAAATATTTATTAAAGAGAGGTGCCTCTGTCAAAGCTCAGATTTGGGAAGCCAGAACGAATGTTGCAAAAAGACAAACCACACCTTTTGTGTGAAAGTTTTTGTTATTGAAATTTTTTTTATATCCACAAACATGACATTCTGTTTCCCTGTGTAAAGTCACATTTCAAATAAAAGCTGAAAAAATGTTCTTTGGTCTCCTGATTTTTTCAATTCACGCAGAATTCTAAACGACTAGAATGGCACTGAGTAGAGCACCATATCCACCATATCTCACAATGTTAGCTCTGCCCCTTGATCTGGATCTGCAGCAAAGGTTTATGGTTTCTTCCATCAAGTTTTGTGGAAATCTTCTCTGTTGTTTTTTTGTGTAATCTTGCTAATTAAACAGACAAACAGACATTGGTGAAAACAAAGCCTCTGAAGAACCAGTGGATTATTTTGAGACTGCTGTTCTGGGTGTATTAATCTGTCTCTTTGCTCTCACCTCTTAACTTCAGAATTGATTTCTGATAAAAACGGGCTTTGTGCTCATATTGTACTTAACATCATGAACAGACTTCTATATAAACCAGGCTCACTGAAAGGTTAAAAAAGCAATGAAAAGATATTCCAAGTCTGTGTCAGTGTCATATCCAGCCACTAACAGGCAAGTGACACATTGTGTATTCTGTGCACGTGCAGTTGCTGCATTACGTACCTGGAGTCACCCATTGGTTAATGGGGGACACAGTGTGTCTCCGGGAAGGGGAGGAGACCGACGAAAGCCTGAGTCACTGACTGGTGCAAACTGTCCCATCCCGTTCCAGCCTAGGTGCCCCGAAGACCTGTGACGTCAGTGCTTTTATCTTCTCTGGGCGCTCAGCTTCCTCTGTGTGAGGCTCCGAGGAGCTTCTCTCTGAGGGTCTCAGTCTGTGGGCTGCAAACACACACAGGACACATGTGGGCGAGTCAAATCCAAGAGAGCAAGGTTATTAAACACAAGATGATGCTGCGCTGAAACAATGCATTACTTTGTGGAGTAATGAGAAAAAGAGACAATATTAATACAAACCAGGATGATGCTTTCACATGATGTTGGACCAATTCATGTGGAATTCAACTTTGGTCAACTGTGACGCACGATATTCACTCCACACAAATTCACATATAAAAGAAACAAGTGGAAGATTAAAAAACTTTTTTCTCCTGTGTGGAATTAAACAATATTTGATTATTACTGTTTCTTATGAACTCAAGTAAACACATGACCCACAGTTTTCTTTCAGCTATGACGTTGCTGAGAGTGATCATTTATGAATTCTATGTGCACCGTGCAGTAGATGTTTTAGAGGAAGACTCGTGCATCATGCACACATTTCATGGTGCAGCCAACAAAAGGAGGAGGAGGCAGAATTTTATAGTTTGCTGCACAAGTATAAAGAGCAACACAGTTTTCACTCCTGCAGGCTGGGCTTACTCAAGCTCAACAAACAGCTGTCTTCACTACAGACTCATCTCCCATGATTCACTTCTTCCAGCTCTTCACCCCCACCTCAAAGGACAAATCCACCACGTTGGTGCTGATCAAAAATCCGTCAAGCACTGTGTGCACCAAGGAAGCTGAATGATCATTTTTAAATACATGGCTGAAAAATGATTGTATGTATGAGACAAAACAACGGCACCTGAGCTCTGCTGTCACTGTGCTGCACCTACTTCAGCTTTGCTTTGAAAACATTTGTTATCATTAGCTTAGCATTAATACAGAAAGTAGAGAAGCTATTAGCCTGGCTCTGTGCAAAGGTAATAACATCTACTAGCTCCTCCGAGGCTCATTTTAATTTGTACAACAATTTTACTCACTAATATTCTGTGCTTATGAAATAATGTTGTGGTTGTACATTGCCTTTTGTGTGCATGGCAACATTGTGAATTGCTCTAGAAATATTCTGTTATGTGTGAAGGTTTTGTTCCCATAGATATAATTTGTAAATATGAAAACACATTTTGTACATGTAGAAATATAGATATATGTGCAATTCCAATTGGTGAAGTTTCACAAAGTCTGAGAGATGATACGCAAGTTTCCTATCTTTGTGTGTGACCCTGAAGTAGGTGACTTCAGTAACAGAGTCTCACTAAGCCTTGCATCAGCCGTTGATAGGTTGTGTAACTTGCTGGAATCAGGAGGAAATCGATCAGATTTATCAGGCTGCTCAACGAACAGACGGGTGAAATGCCACAAGCTCATATTGGGTCCAGCGTTCAATTCTGTTCAGCTCTCTGTGGAGCTGTTCACTGCTTAAACTGTTAAACTTGTACTTGTACCTGCAGCCTGTGAAACTCATTGACAAATGAGTATTAACCTAGTGAGCCTCTGAAGTAACCTCTGTAACCTCAATCTGTCTATTTTACATAGTCAACCCCATCCCTTGAGATTTGTAGCTGTAACTTCAGGGTCTCAGACTCTGTGAAACCTCACTGTTGAAAATGTGGCTGCACAAATTTGATTGCACATGTACAAAACACTTCTTACAGCTACTACAACATTTGAGCAGGCACACAAAAGGTGAAGCTGGACTTTCATTTCCCGTTGGTCTACATGGTCTCCTTCAGCGTCACAGATATTGATGGTAGAATAGCCTTTGATGGGCTGTGCGTAATTTGAAAATTGAAAACTGTCAATATATAATAATTAGATTGATATTTTGTGGAACTTTCTCCTTCCAGCTTTAAGCATATAAAGGGAGGCTTGGGCTTTATTGATTGGCCCATCAACTCTGGCTGAAGCTTGAGACCGTGTGCACACTCCCCTCCAGCTATGTGCGTCTGTCGGTGAACCAATCCGTGGCACCAGTCCGACTCAGTGAGTCACTTTAAGACTGTCAGTGCCATGGCACCATCACATCCTCTGACCACTGGATCCTCTGCACATTGTTATCAGTGACAGTGCGCCACTAAGGGAATCAGTTTTACGCACGGGCTCCTACGGGCGCAGACTCACAGTGGAGCCTCTCTGTCCTCCTCCTCTGCCATGGAGAACTCCAGTCTGTTCGGTGGCGACGCACAAAGAGCTGGTTTGATAGATTTTCCAATGCTGGGCACTTTGAAGCGAGTTTTGGATTTTCCGAAAGATGGAGCCGCGGCTGGATCAGGAGTAGCCGGTGGTGTCATGATTCTTGAAGGCGGCACGTTGAGGACAGCTGCCGGAGATGGAGTGGACTTTATGGCCGCTCCGCCGACGGAATCCCCTCACCTGGTGCCCGCCTTTTGGGATTCCCCGCTTAATCACGGAATCAATGTATTCGTGGGACTCGTCCTTTGCTTCACTATGCTGGGACTGGGCTGTACGGTGGAGGTGAGCCAGATTGGCGAACATATCCGCAGACCCATCGGGGTGTTGCTGGCACTGGTGTGTCAGTTTGTTATCATGCCCTTGGTGGCCTTTCTGTTGGCTCTTGCCTTCTCTCTGAATGATGTGGCAGCGATGGCTGTTCTGCTCTGCGGCTGCTGTCCGGGAGGAAACTTATCCAACATCATGTCTCTGCTGGTGCACGGGGAGATGAACCTGAGGTAGAGCTGCTGTACTGATCTATAAAAGCAACATGTCATCAGCTCAGGCTGTGAGATGATTTCACTTTTACGCATAGTAAGCTATTCAGCTGATTACGCACCGGTGCGTAAAGTTACACACGAGAGATGTTTCGCCACTTAACGACAATGATCCAACACTATGACCGGTGATCACATCCACCCTATGCTGCCATAACTTTGCCTTGTCTCTGCTCCTCACTCCACAGCATCATCATGACCATATCGTCCACGCTGCTCGCGCTGGTGCTGATGCCGCTGTGTCTGTGGATCTACAGTCGCGCGTGGATCAACACACCTGTGGTCAACCTCATGCCTTTCGGGGCCATCATCCTGACCCTGTGCAGCACGCTCATCCCCATCGGTCTAGGAGTCACGCTGAGGTACCGCTACACGCGTGTGGCCGACATTGTTTTGAAGGTAATTTAAGAGCTGTTTGTCAAAGTTACTTAACAATTCTTGAAAATGTTTAAGTCAGTTAAAGTCGTTCATTCATTTTGTGTCGCTAATGTCTGAGTCCTTTACCTTTGCGCAAAAGCGCAGTGCGTAATTCTCTGTGCCTGTGGCACGTAGAGGATGATGCTGACCAGGAACAGTGACATCAGAGGCTCTGTGTCAGGAAGAGCTCCTCCCTCTCTCTTCTGATAAAAGCCACAATGATGGAGGATCACATCACTCTCAATAGACGATAACTTTAAACAGCCCAGTCCAGCCCTGTGCTTAAAACGTCAAGTCCATTTCAAGTCACTTTTATTGTTATAACTCAAAAACACAAAGTCTTAAAAACATGTGAAATCCCCCTTTTCCTTTTAATCCCAAATTCAGATGAGGGGAAAAAATCAAAATGCGAAAAGTACTTTAACAGGAAAAACTGGAGGAGACCAAGGAAGTGTGTCTGGTTTCTGGATGTCTCGTAAAATGTTTCCTATTGTAGAAAACACCTTCATCCGCACCTCTTGTCTCCCCAGGCCTCCTTGTGGTCCCTGCTCGTCACCCTTATACTGCTCTTCATCCTGACTGGAGCAATGCTGGGGCCGGATCTGCTGTCCACCATCCCGCTCTCCGTCTACGTGGTGGCTATCCTGATGCCTCTATGTGGCTATGCAGCAGGTTACGGCCTGGCCGTGCTCTTCAACCTGCCGCCCAACAGCTGCAGGTCCGTCTCCATGGAGACCGGCTGCCAGAACGTGCAGCTGTGCACTGCCATCCTGAAGCTGGCCTTCCCCCCGCAGCTGATGGGAGGAATGTACATGTTCCCTCTGCTGTACGCCTTGTTCCAAGCAGCCGAGGCCGGCATCTTCATCCTGGCCTACAGAATCTACAGGAAGGAGGTCCTGCACAAACCCGATCCCACGGCAGACGGCGAGGACATAACATATCAGAGGTTTCATGATGACGAGGACTTTGACTCATCTTATGGTGCTGTGACAGTGAGTGACCCAAACACCATCATGTTGGACCCCTGTCCTCCTGATCCCACCCCTGTTTAATTTACTAATACATAATCAAATTAACACTCTACAGATGGAATGGAGCAGAACAGGATCTGCAGGTGGATTTATCGCTGTCATTCACAAAGAAAATACTCGGGGGGGCTTTATGTTAAAAGTTTCATTCATTCAACTTAAACATGTTACATGTGTGATAAACTGATTAAAAACCAAATCGTGGCTGTGTTACCTGTAAAGTGAAAGTGGCATTAATCATCACACCATCAATGCAATGTGGCAGTTTAAAAAGTGTGTGTGAGTGTGTGTGAGTGTGTGTGTGTGAGTGTGTGTGTGCGTGTGTGTGCGTGTGTGTGCGTGAACTAACCCACTCTTCATGTGCAGATTTCAGTGACAACATGATCATCACGATCATAATAATAATGTAAACACGTGTCTATGAGTAAATAAAGATTGAGCAGTGAAACGTGTTTACCTTGTCACGTGACATCACTCCCTCACCTGTCCGTGATTAGACCTGATGGATCTACTTAAATGGCGGCCCCTCACAGCCGGGGTTGGTTGAACAAAATGGCGACGTATGGTGACGAGCCAGTCGACAGCTACTTCTACTCATCGTATAACCCGTACACGGGCAGATATCCCCGAGCTAAAGAGGCCGGGTGGAAATATAAAAGTTACTTGTCCCACTACAGCGACGCGTCTGACGCCTTCAACAACCAGCAGCGCGCCCACCTCAAGTCCATCTTATCCCAGATCAACCCCAAGCTCACCCCGAGGCTCCGCAAGGCCAACACCAAGGATGTGTCGGTGCAGGTGAACCCGAAGAGGGACGCCTCGGTGCAGTGCTCCATCGGCCCGCGGACGCTCCTCTCCATGAAGCGGGACTTCCGGCGCAAAGGTCAGCAGGAGCCCGCGGCGGCACCTGGCAGCGGCAGCCCCAGGGCGGCGGGCGGAGTCCGGTACCCCCGCACCCTCGCGGTGTACTCGCCCATCGCCTACAGGAGCGTCACCTCCTTCCTGGTGGATGAGAACAACAACAGCACCGAGGCCTCCTGCGGGGAGCCGCCCGGTGACCCGGCGGAGGACGGCGGGGCGAAGGGCGAACAGAGCCGGGAGGGTGAGGGCGGGAGGAAGGGTGAGGTCCCGGAGCAGCATCAGAAGATCAGGCCCAAACAGGTGAAGGGTGAGGAGGGGCAGACCGCTGCTGAGGGGTCAAAGGTCAAGGCGAGGGTGCGGTTCCAGGTGAGTTCATTTTAAAAGGAGGAAACTTTGACAGGTATAGTTTCCCTTAGTTCAAATAAATGACATTTAAGTTTTCTCATCCCTTCATTAACTTAAGCCCACATGTCTTGAGCCATTAAAGTCCTCCCACCTGCTCTGGCATCATGGGAAATCACACAAGTTAAAAGCTCAAATGGAAGTTTCATGTTAGACCCAATTCTCAGTCTGTCGCCCCTTTCCAGCTGATCAGTGTATTTGGAGTGAAGCTATCTGGACTCTAAAGGTATAAACTGAGAGAGGCAGTGTCCTGAATGACGGTTGAGATTAAGGTCACATTAGATCCAGGTGGAGTGTCCCACATCAGTCCTGACACCACCACCTACAAAGTTTATGTGACTGGTTGACACATGGCGAAGCCGTGCCATCAAATAGAACTCACTGTGATATTAGTGAAACTTGAATCAGACAAAATAAAGTTATGAGTCAGTTTCTTTTTCACCGCCAATTAACCAAACATTTGATTCTTAAGCGAGGAAATGTACCTTAACAAACTAGGCTCCATAACACTGTCTGATCAGATGAATCTCATCTCTCCCAGTTTGATGTGATGGTTCTCAGCAACACCCCGATGGAGCTGAAACTACAAATGGAATAGTTTGTTTCTAGTGATCGGCTGTGGATTCAAATGGCTTTAATATTTGAGTGACCAACCTTTCTGTCTTATCAGTTCCTGGAACAGAAGTATGGATATTATCACTGCAGAGCGTGTAATCTGCGATGGGAGAGTGCCTACGTGTGGTGTGTTCAGGGCACCAACAAGGTGAGCACTTACAAGGCACTAAAAACTCAAGATACCAGTCACACCAGTCAGGGCTCTGTTGTCCCAGCATTGCTTGATGACTGGTTTTAGAACATTCTTTTTTTTAACACTTAACCGTAGCGCGTTTTCCAACTTGAATTGGAAATGATACTTTCTTTTAAAGCTACAGTATGAGAGGCTGTTCTAATTGAAGTCCTGTGTGTTCCAGGTTTACTTCAAGCAGTACTGTAGGAAATGCCAAAAGGAGTTCAACCCGTATCGAGTTGAGGACATCACATGTCACGTAAGCCCTCCTCGCTCTTGTTCTGCAAAATAAAATGGCTCATGAGTCTCTACTAAACGCCCCCCCACCCTCTTTTGTTTTTTCCCCCAGACCTGCAACAAAGCACGTTGCTGCTGTGCATTAACACAACGCCACGTTGACCCCAAACGGCCCCACAGACAGGACTTGTGCGGCAGATGCAAAGGCAAGCGTCTCTCCTGCGACAGCACATTCAGCTTCAAATACATCATCTGACGAGCAGCTCAACTGAACTCTGCCTCTATACATCAGAACAAAGTCCTGTGTGTGGCTGACGTCTTCAGCCCAGTGCCGTATTTACAGATGCAACAAAAGCATCTTAAATGTAAAGCATATGTTTCAGTACTTTATTTCATGCCTGTTTTGTTGATGAAATCAATGGTAAGAACACACATTAAAATGTAATAAAAGGCAACTGTGCACTCTGTACTAAAGCTGTGTTCACTCAAACCACTCGGGTCCTGACTGAGAGACTAGCGCTGGAGTCATTAACCTGCAAGAGATGGAGCATCCGATTAAAGGACGCTTCATGTACCTTTGTTAATGTCAGTCCAACTTATTAATGGCTAAATTAAAGAACTAGATCAAGAGTCTGTTAAGATTCACCTCAACTGTAGGGTCAAGGCTGAAGCCCTCTTTCAGTGACAAATGTTGATGCATGTGCACTCTGACCTGTCTGTATTGGGACAAATTCATGTTTCTGCCGCTGTAATCCAGACTCCTCAATCTCTACCTACTCCCTCAACCTAGGAGGACCCCCCTCCATGTGTTGGTTTTGTTATCAGGATTGTGCAAACACAACTGAACTGATTACTAATACATCTGGAGGGTTGTGACAGGACCTAAAGAGGAACACATTTAATCTTGGAGCACTTTCAGGGCTTTTTTCACTAATGTGCAAGGGTGCTTTCTACTTTTACTTTTCAAAATATTGGATCTTGATGCCAAAATTCATACATTTAGGGGACTTATATTTGAGTGTTTATAATCTGGTGCATCTCCGAACAAATCCAGATCTAGTTGATTTAAATGTTTTCATAAGTGTGGGGCTTTTGGTTGAGGTATGTGGCCTAAGTGCCATTCCAGTGTTTTATTGCTTTTTGTCTGTTGGCAGATGAAAAAACTACTGAACAGATTTGTTAAAAATTGGAATTGAGTCAAAGAATTTCATTAATTTTTTTTCTAATGTGCATGAGGTTTTTTTTTAAATGTAAAGTCACAGGGAAGAAATTGTAGATTGACTGTAAATCAGCATATCTTTAAGTGTTTGCAATTTGGTGCCTCTCGATTGAATTTAAGGACTGTTGGGCCGTAGCGGAGGAATGAGTGCTACTCTGGTTTGTTCTGAACCAAAGCCCTGTGTAATTGGAAGGTGTATTCATCCACATGATCTCAAACTTCCTGAACACATTCAGGTTTCTACAATTGGAACAACATACAACCATGTTCATACTGCATGATTAGATTTTTATTTTTCCAGAGAGAAGGCTGGTATGTGAGTGAACAAGAGAAAAAAAAAAAAGTATAATGCACCTCTCCATTAAAACATCTTCCAGGTAAATAATATATTCATTAAATAATTAAGAACAGCATTCAAATGTACCAGACAAGCAGGGAGGAGGGGGAAAAAAAAGCTCTGAGGAATGAGTACAGTGACTGTTACAATGTGCCATGACAAGATTTCCAGAAAGCATTCAGGTAATGATTCGTGTCCTGCAGTAGCAGCAAGAAAGGCCATTCCTGAAAGCATAGCGCGGCTTCAGTGACGGCTGTAGATCAGAATGTGAAGGGTGAGCGCTGCTTTGGGATGCGATCAAACTACGTAGATAAACTCAAATCTCCCTTCGTGAGGCGTTAAGCAGGGGGCGCTGTGCGAACACATCACAGTAGAGAGAAGGAATGCATATGAGGGGCTTGGCTGGATTGGTGCGGTCAAACAGGAGATGAAGGCTACATTAGATCTCCCACGCCATCCCCCGTCAGCAAGGCAGAGGTGGCCTGTCCCAAATGAGCCCTGACCCTCTTTTAGAAGACCACCACCACCAACCAACGCAGCCTTTTGGGAAATTTTGAAGTTTGTGTGACTGGGTAACAAAAAGGCAGAGCGGATCATTAATGACTCAAATCTGGTCGTGGCTTTCTCTCATCACATTAGCTTTATACATACATCCTACTCGGATGAACAGTGCATTACACAAAAGTACAAGGGAAAAATACTGGTTTTACACTATACATTTTCTAAAATATATACAGAGTAAAATAAGTTATGTTTCCATAATGAGTTGTAGCCAGTCTGCACCTGTGTGCAAGTATATGCATTTGTGTGTGAGCGTATACCAGAATATCCAATATATATATCACACAGTCAAAGAGTCTCTAAAGGCAGCTACTTATTTGGTTTAAGAGTGAGTTTTGCGTGACGACCTGTTGAAGGGGACTCTCCTCTCAAAGCAGATCAATAAACAGATATATATTTCTCTTTTTACACTCCCTGAAGGCAAACGTCTCCCGCAGGGTTACAATTACATGTTAAATACCCTAACATTTACAACCTAAGATGTTAGCTCTAATAAAAAATACATTTTTCAAAAAAATAATTCTTGCAGTGCTTTTCTCTTTCAAGCATGCTTTGGAAAACCTTTTTTTTTTTTCCTCAAACAAGATTTTTCTGTTTTTGCTTATGAATCTAGATGGTGTGTACTCACACATACAAGACCTCCTCTAGACTCAGGTCTTACATGCTCACATACACCATCTCCCAGCGCCAGGCCCCCGAGGAGGCCTGCGGTCCGTTCGATATGCTCATCATGTTAGATCCAGCAACAAAAAAAAAAGAAAGAGAAGAAAATCAAACAAAAAAAGATTATCATCCCACTGCGTCCTCTCTAATTCTTTCCCAGGCACACCACCACATGACTTATTGCAACTGAATTTTGCAAGTTGGCTTTGTCTGGGAAAAAGATATTAGCTTTAAGCATTCATACATGTAATAATATATATTTAGAGTCACAGTTATTCCCACACATCCTTTAGCCCTTTAAAGGTGGAGTCTCTCTCTCTCGTCCTCCTCCTCCCAAGCCCCTCACTGTCTGTGCTCTCTCTACAGCTGAGGCGAGAGAGTGAGGGGGGGACTTAAGTCCAGTCAAGTCTGCAGTGCCACAGAATCACAGTCCAGTGCTGACCATGGTGGTATGGGGCTGGCAGGCCTGGGCCTGACTCAGAGCCTCACGGATCTGCAGGTTGAGTTCCATGAGGCGGGTGCTCGCCTGAGACAGGTCCCTGCTAGGGCCCACAACAGCCAAGCAGCCCGTCTGGCCCAGCGTCTGGTGACGGAAGTAGATGTGCAGAAGGGTCTGAATTGCATTATCTGTCTCGTTGCCAAAGATGTCGTTGGGCCACATAGACCTGAGGACACAGGGGGTGTGGTTAGAAAGGGAAGAGAAGATTTGGTAGAAAACTATTTAAGATTATATTAAAGCACTTCCAGGTCCTCCACCTGGGGTTTATGTTTTCACCTCTGCCCATTTTATTGTTGCAAGATTACTCAATAACTACAGGATGGATTACCATGAAACTTGGTGGGGGGATAAAGTATGGGTCATAGAAGAATCCATTCAAAATTGGTGTAAATCCAGATCAGTTTTTATCAGTTTCTGTTACACTGAGACTGACTGAGAAACAAAGAGACTACAACTTTTTGGGGGTTTTCCCCGGGAACTGGAGGGTCACTCAGTAGAGCACATACATTGTTAAGGCTCAACAATCGCCTCTTGAAACCACATTTAAATTCACTTTAAAGTCCAGATCTTTATTTGGATTCCTTCATTTCCCAACATTATAGTTCAGATATGGGACTTTTGTGACTGATTTTTATCTTCAGTTGACTAATGGCATTAGTTATGTTAGCATTAGCATGTGATTGACAGCAGCTGACTTGAAACATCAGAACAAAGTTTGTCAGACTTGCGCAGGCTTCAGGAGCAACAGCAGTGCTTCCTTTATTCATGAAAGACGTATTCAGTGTGACAGGAATCTGAAAACAACTGATGAAGCTAATTATTAGTTTGATGATCCATAATCCAAAGTGGCAAATACTTTCAGAGCCAAAAAGGGGCGTTGAAACTTTGAAAGGCATTTAAATTGCATTGATATGCATGTGATTATACTGATACTGCAATTAGCTAAACAATTCCATTCTGGCCCTGTGACTGATCGTTTAATCTACTTCAGGACTGAGAATTCTAAGTTTGACTCTTGTCTTCATTAGGGTCTAGTCATTAGTGAGTTGTTGTGTCTTACCTAAAGATTTTGACCTGTGTGAGAGCAGACGTGAAGTCTCTGGCTCTCAGAGTTTCGATTAGGGACTGGATGGCCGTCTCTGTGTTGGTCTGAGCAGTGTCTGACATACACACATCCTCCTCAGTATCATGTCTCGTTTCTGCCTCCTTCAAACAGCTCTCAAGGATGGTGAGCTCTTCAGACATGTTGGTCACCTAAGAAAAAACAAACATATTCACCACACTGCACACAAGTAGAAAATCTACCCAGGAAGTCAGCAGACAGAAACCCAGTTTAAATATTGATTGAAAGAGCTGACCACATCAGTCGGAAGTTATTTAATTCAGTACTTTGATCTAATTAAAGCTCCGTCGAGATGCAGCGCAGACACAGATGGGCTGCAGAGAAGATTCAGCAGATTATTTAACTAACCTGTGGTTAAAAAAAGATATTTACCCAACATCTGAACTGGACCTTACAATACAACTTTTTGACTTTTGCATTATTCAAAGCGGGTTTCTGCAGGTTCGACGAGTTAAATAAAAGAAAGAATTTGAGACCATGATGAATAATATTTAAGACCTATGACAAGTACGATTGATATGAAGGAATATCAGAGAGACACAATAATTTACACTTCCCCATAACTGAAGATAAAGTTGAAGTAGTCTAGTAGAGAATATAACTCAGATGAAAGTATTTAAAACCTATTACATAATATATTTTTTTACATATTCAAGAATTTTTAAATACTACATTTCAGCATATTACATTTTTTTGAATTTTAAGACAGAAGAAACCCTGTTGAATGGGAAATAAAACTTTTAATTTATGAAAAAGAGACAGTGAGGACGGGGAAAACAAGGCTTTTTCAGCATGGTGCAGTGTAATGCAATTTGTCTGTTCTGGTTTCTCTGACAACAGAGATGAGACAGATAAGTCGTCAGTTCCACGTGGCCTTTCTTAGGCAAACTTAAACTCTGAAAACTAAATGTGTTCATGCACATCCAGATCTTTTTAGATCAGTTACCCAACAACAAATTTTAGTCTCACCTCTGCCTCCCTCTTGATAGTATCCACCCTGCTGATGAGCTTACAGTACGCCTGGAAGAGCAGCAGCAGCTGGAAGTGCAGCTTATAGAGCCGGCGGC